TTTTTAACTTAATTATTGAGAGTTGCAAATACATAGAAATGTGGACAGAAAAATATTGGGGATTCCTGAGCACATGTCACTGGCTCCAGGGGCCATCAACCATTCTGTCCTGACCCCTCCTCCCCCACCCACATCCTTCCTTCTGCATCGTTGTGAAGCCACCCAGACAGCAGCATGCTTTCTGCATAAGATATTTCAGTAAAAGCTCTGAAAGATGAGGACTGTTTTTTTGTTCTTTAATTAAGGTGAAATTCATGTAAGTAAAATTAGCCACTTTAAAGTAAACAATAGTTCAGTGACATCCAGCACGCTCAGTGTTGTGCAGCCATCACCTCTATCTAGTTCCAGAACATTTCCATCGCCCAAAAGGAAACCCCGTCCCCACCAGCAGTCACTTCCCATACCCCTCCCCAACCCTTGGCAACCACTAATCTTCCTGTCTCTATGGATTTTCCTGTTCTAGACATTTCCTGTAAATGGAATCATATATTGTGTGGCTGTTTCTGTCTGGTTTGGACTGTTTTTAAAACAAAAGATTTGAAAGCAGGATCTCAAAGAGATATTTGTACACCCATGTTCATAGCATTATTCACAACAGCTAAAACATGGAAGCAACCCAAATGTCTGTTGACAGATGGAGAAGCAAAATGTGGTCCATTCGTACAGTGAAATATTATTCAGCCATAAAAGGAAGGAAATTATGACATATTCTACAGTGTGGGTGAACCTTGAGGACATTATGCTAAGTGAATAAGCCAGACACAAAGGAACAAATACTATGTGATTCCACTTATATGAGGTCCCTAGAGTAGTCAGATTCACAGAAACACAAAGTAGATGGTGGGTGCTGGGGACTGGGGGAGGGGGATGAGGAGTTTGTGTTTAACGGAGACATTTTCCGTTTGGGAAGATGAGAGTTCTGGAGATGAATGGTGGGATGGTTTTTCAACAATGCGACTGTACTTAATGCCACTGAATTATTCACTTAAAATGGTTAAGATGTGCCTTTGTCTCTCCACACCCACTCCGTGCGTATACTCAGTATACAAAGTCACCCTAATGGGATTCATAGCTGGGGCTCTCAGCTCCTGTCCAAGTGCTCCCTACAGGGGTTGTGAATGAGCAGATAACTCCGAATGAGCAGGTGACTCCGTGGGCAACTGGGGCTCTTCCGCTGTGACTTCAGGGAGGAAACGAAGATCACGCACCTGACAGCGGTCCCACCCCAGATCTCAGCTGACTGTGTTCTGGGGGGACAGCATGGGATAGTGTAGAGCACATGGGCTCTGGGCTAGGTTTGTCTTCTGGGGTGTCAGCGCTGCTGCTCACCTTCTTGCCTGGTGTGGGGTGCACGAAGTGTCCCTAGGAAGCGGCATGGGGATAGAGGGACTGCAGAGGGGCAGGTGGGGGGACCCAGATGCATCCACTTGAATAGAAGGCGCATCCCAGGGCCCTTGCTAGGACTGAGCTGTTTCCCCAGAGTTATCATCCTTAGGGCCCGTTTTGTTCTAGGGCCCAGGGTCAGGGGTGTGCCCTGGGGTATCGAGCTCCCCTCTGGCCCTCGTTCCCACCCATGACTCGCTCCCCATTGGCCAGGTGGTCCAGTACATTGGAGAGACCTGCCGCTACCTGCTGAAGCAGCCGGTGAGCGAGGCGGAGAAGCGGCACCGAGTACGCCTCGCGGTGGGCAACGGGCTGCGGCCCGCAATTTGGAAGGAGTTCACCCAGCGCTTCCGAGTTCGCCAGATCGGCGAGTTCTACGGTGCCACTGAGTGCAATTGCAGCATCGCCAACATGGATGGGAAGGTGGGCGCAGTGGGGTGCGGGGCGCAAGTCAGGGTACAGGGATCACGGTGGCCCGGGTGCCATGGCAGAGGCATAAGGCGGGGGAGGGGGAGCTCCTGGGCCCCTCTCTTCCAGCACGCACAGCCAGTCATGTGACTGTTGCCCCTGAGTTCAAGTCTTTGGCGTGGCTGTGTGCCCCTGGCAAGTGCCTCAGCCTTTCTGAGCCTGTTTCCACCTGGAGAGGTGGCAAGGAAAGCAGGGCTCGGGCACCCAGGATGGAGGTGGGGTGCTGATCCCCTCCTACTGGGCAAGTCTTGGGCCTCAGTTTCCTCTTCTGTTAAAGGGGTTAATAGCTCATTGGGTATGTTCTACTTATCCAACACCATGAGCTCAGCACAGCAGCCCCCACTGGCAGCTCTCTACAAACGCGAGCTGTGCCAGTACCCCGATCTGGCTCCAGGGTCACTCCAGGTACCCACTTCCTACCAATCTAGAGGATTTTATGGACCAGGAAGTGGTGGTGGGCCAGCAGATTTCCCACCGTGACTGTAGGGGAGGCTGAAAAGGTGGGAAGAGGGGCATGAGTCCTTGGGGAGACACTACTTAATACCCCCCCCTTTTCATATCACCCAAGGTCATGAGCTGAAGTGACACTGGGGGTTCTATTCCAGACTTTGGGGCAGGAGAGGCAAGGTGTTGGAAAGAGGACACTGTGCCACCCTGGGGCTCCTTGCAAACTCAATTTGCCTTATTTCAGGTTGGCTCCTGTGGCTTCACCAGCCGCATCCTGCCACATGTGTACCCAATCCGGCTGGTGAAGGTCAATGAGGACACCTTGGAACTACTGCGGGATGCCCAGGGTCTCTGTATCCCATGCCAGGCCGGTGAGTGGGGGGCCCCACCTAGTTCCCTGGGAGCTGGGGTCCCCACCCCCTGCCCACGTAGTGAAGTCTGAGTGGGGTCTCCATCCTAGGGGAGCCTGGCCTCCTTGTGGGCCAGATCAACCAGCAGGACCCACTGCGTCGCTTCGATGGCTACATCAGTGAGAGCGCCACCAGCAAGAAGATTGCCCACAGTGTTTTCCACAAGGGCGATAGCGCCTACGTCTCAGGTGCGCACACCGTGGGGGCTGGCTGTGGGGATGGCAGCTGCCCTCTTACCTGCCCCTCTTCCCTCTGCCAGGTGACATGCTGGTGATGGATGAGCTGGGCTACATGTACTTCCGGGACCGCAGTGGGGACACCTTCCGCTGGCGTGGGGAGAACGTCTCCACCACTGAGGTGGAGGGTGTGCTGAGCCGCCTGCTGGGCCAGACAGATGTAGCCGTGTATGGGGTGGCCGTGCCAGGCAAGCTGGGGCTTCAGGGGGTGGTCCTAGGGTTTGGTAGCCTCAGAGGGGCCTAGCTAGGAAGAGCTTGGAGGTACAGGTGCCCTTGGGCAGTGCACAACTTGGACAACTGCACACGACAACTTGGGTGGGAGCCACTGGATCTGGAATCACCTCTCCTGTGCGATTTAAGCCTCAGTTTCCTCATCTAGAAAAATGGGATCATGAGAGCTACTCTGGCTCAGGGTTGCAGGAGTGTAGCAGGACTTAATCAGATATGTGCTGCTTTGGTGAGTGTAGCCCAGGTGGAAGGGATCAGAGGCCAGAGGCCAATGTTTGAGGGTGTATCTGGTCCCATGGTGGGGTGAGGGATGGTGTTCTAACCGAGCCTCTGTCTCTAGGAATAGAAGGCAAAGCAGGCATGGCAGCCATTGCCGACCCCCACGGTCAGCTGAGCCCCAATGCGCTGTACCAGGAGCTGCAGAAGGTGCTGGCGCCCTATGCCCGGCCCATCTTCCTGCGCCTCCTGCCCCAGGTGGATACCACAGGTGCGCTCCTTTCCCTCTTTTGGTCTGCCCAACTGCCTGTTGGTTTAGCAACCATTTACTTACTTATCCTGGTTTAGGCCCCTGGGCCAAATCTGACATAACAGTACACAGCCAGCCTGGCACTGTGGGCTTGTGTAGGACCCTTCTCTTATTTTATTTACATAGTTAATTATTTCCATTCCTCACTCCCATCCCTGTTAGGCATCCTGCAGTGTTGTGTGTTTGTTTCTTCATTTTCTGCATTTTTCTGATGATTAGGAAATTTGAGCAAATCATCTCACATCTCTGATCTTTCATCCATCTTTGTATTGCCTCTCACTTTTTCATTTTGATTTGTGGGAGTTCCTTGTAATGGTCTGGATGTTAATTCCTTAGCCATTTCAGACATTGTAAGTCTCTTCTATTTGAGAGTCTGTTAAATTTGTCTATGGTGGCCTTTGTTGAAAAGAAACCCTTAATTTTGACACATACTTATCCTTTTAAAAAAAAATCTTATGATTTGTGCTTCTGAAGTTTTGTTTTAAAAAAACAAAAATCTTATGATTTGTGCTTCTGAAGTTTTGTTTTAAAAAAAAAACCTTCCCAACTCTAGAGCACAAGGTATTCTCCCTCGCCTTTTAATTCTAACTCCAACCTTTATCCTTCACAAAACTCTTCTTTAATCGTCTACTGCAGGGAGTACAAACTTTTTCTTAAAGCCTGGATAATAAATATTTTCAGTTTTGTGGGCCAGTCTCTGCCCAAAAAGTTCAGCTCTGCCTTGTAGTGCAAAAGCAGCCTAGACTGTGTGTAAATGAATGGCCCTGGCTTTGTGCCAATAAAACTTTATTTACAAAACAAGGTGAAGAGCCAGATTTGGTCTCTAGGCTCTAAGTTGCTGACCTTTCACCTATTTTGTGACGGACCCCACCCTGCCTTGGTCTCCTGGGGGTTGGACAGGTGACTAGGCAGGGAAGACATAGTTTCAGGCTATAATGGGGGTGGTCAGAGAGGCTTCCCTGGAGGACAGGCATGAAGCTGGGATTTGAAGGACCAGGGGGAATTCGGAAGGCAAAATGAGAAAGAATGTTCCTGACCAAGGGGATAACCTATGCAGAAGCCTGGAGACTCAGGAGAGAATGGTGAGTTAGAGGCTCTTAGAAGCTCCCTGCTGAGTACCCCCCACCTCTACCTGCACCCCCATAGGCACCTTCAAGATCCAGAAGACGCGGCTGCAACATGAAGGCTTTGACCCACACCAGATCTCGGACCGGCTCTTCTTCCTGGACCTGAAGCAGGGACACTACCTTCCCCTGGACCAGGATGTCTACACCCGCATCTGCTCGGGTGCCTTTGCCCTCTGACACTCTTCCTCTGCTGTCGAGATTCTAACCAGGCCTGGCAAGCTAGGTGGGCTGGAGCCAGACAGCTCTGCCCTATCCTGGGGTCGAGAAACTGGACCTCAGAAAGAAACTGTCTCTCCCCTTTCCTCACTCTCCTCAGCCTGGTTCCCTACTCTCTCCCCTTGCCCTGCCTGTCTTCTGATCCTGTGTCTGTGTGTGTGTCTCTTCTCCCTGCTTCCTGGCTTTAGCCTCCCTGCTGCCCTCATCTGCCCTCATCTTTTCCCTCTTTCC